CCGACTTACGTCTCCAACGATATTTTTCCTAAACAGTTCCATTAAAAAACGTTGAATAATATTTTCTGAAAAATCGTCAAGGGCTCGTGTCGTTATCTTCCTATATAAATAGACCTTTAATGCGTACTCCAGCAAAGCCTCGTCGTGCGCAATAAATAATTCGTTTTGTTTGTTCTGTTTACGGTGGAACGTTACCTAAAAACGTGATTTTTGAACCGCATAGAAAAATTTGAATGAAATTCGAGTGTTAGTGATAACTGTGATGAAGTTCAGTGTATACCAGTCAAGCGTCAGGACCAAATTAATAAACAGTACATAAGATAACAGCAGCAATGAGAAAGGAAAGAGGCCTGGTGTGTGATGAAGATTATCTCAAAATGGGATTTTCCTGGACTGGCGACGAGTCAGAACCTAACCTAACCTAACCTCAAGCTCCCCTTCGCTTACAAGATTTAAGAATTCCATGGTAAACCAGTAGAGGTTTTTTTTTCCAAAATACGAGCAGGGATGTTCAAGAACTCAAGAAAAATTTGCTCAGTGGGATGGATGGTGAAAATGTGTAGGTGTTAGAAACGTTTTTCTTACTGTGTATCGTACTAATAGCAAAGTCCGAAGCTACTGAAGTGACTGACGAGACGTTGATAAAACCTGCGGCCACAGTAATGGCGAATATGATGGAAGGAACAGAATCGATTGGCTGAGTTCTTATTTCAAATAACACTGTACGTCGTTCATCACAGATATGACCGTCAGAGTCACTAATGTACTCTGTTAAGGCGATAAATCTACAGATATTGTGAATGAAACTAATTATCTTGTTTTGCCAACGTTTGTCAACAATTACATCTGGGGAAGCTGTTATCAAACTTACTGATGACTTTGTCAAGGACTGCATATTGGATTGGTGTTAATGTTTTGGGGTAAGCAAAAATTGTGTCGTAGTCATGACAGTGTTGGGCAAGGCCGTGGTCTAGACAACACGGAGTTTTCCTCCGGGGGCTTCTTCCCCGGTTTCTCCGTGGCATCCCAACAATTACTCCATTCACACACAGAAGAAGGCAATGGCAAACCACTTCTGGATCATCTGCCAAGAACGTATATGAACAGGTCCCAGTCCGAGAAAAGGATGGAAGGATCGTGTTCATATGGACCTGTCGTCAGACAGAACACTAAATAAATAAAAAAGTCATGACAGGGGTAGAGGTCGGAGGAGTTGTTGCACGCATTCATATCGTTGCCGGGTGATCATGACTCACCCCCCATCTAGTGCCTAGGTTGAGAATGCCAACC